TGTGTGTGTGTTCTTTTGTATAACTGGAACTCTAAGACGAGTCCATACCTCAGGAACCATGTGTACTTTTATTTTATTTATTTTTTTACCAAAAAATATTAAATATACTTGATGTGTTAACATGGTTTCTGAGGTATGAACTCGTCTTAGAGTTCCAGTTATACAAAAGAACACACACACATAAATATAGCTATTACAACCGAATAAAGTCCATATTATTTCTTGTCAATACTAAAAATTTGTAGTGTCAGAGACATGTGGGGGAGAAACGAGGGTTGCTATGGCACAAAACCCTAGTGCTGCTGCACCGATGCAGATAAAAACTTTATAATTACGCAGATATTTATAAGAAAACATAAGTGCGTGCGTATAATACAGTGGGACGTACCAAGTTGAAGAATAAAAAAACAGAAGGAAACACGAAGGTAGAGAAGATGGGACATTGACATGGTTGCAGTTACCCACTGGTACGGAGTCATGAGAAGTGGAGCCAAAGAAGCTAATCCTCCTCCTCGTACGGGACCCTTTTTATTTCTTTTTAATTGTTTATAGTCACATCCACATCTCTTCATATCATTTTATGTATTGTTGTCATGTGTACACCAATACCTCCATTATTGTTTTCTATATCTAATAACTAGGCCATCCCAAATTATATAAAATGTTTTTCTTCTGAGCAAAGGGTTTGAATTATTTTAAATGGTATGCAACAAAAATATTAAGTATACTTGTTAACTTTACAACAATGAAAAAAAATCCCAAATACATATATATTATCTTTGTTAAAAATATGATGGTCGAATGTATCAGTTCCACTTTCTTTATGTCCTCGCATATCCTTAGGTATCTTAGTTTATAAAATTTGAAATATATAAAGTGATAGGAGCCTATACAAGTGATGATCAAAGAAAAGTTGAGGATAAGCCACATAACCATAATCAATATCTTTGGTGACAATGGTTTTTGACTATGTAAAGTAGAATTTGGATTATATGTTGCCGACAAATAAAGCTGATATGTCCGTGTATATTATTATGAGATTCATCTATAAAGCTCGTCTCTAAAATACGTATAGGAAGTGGGTCATAACACATTAAATGCTCAACCCATCTGAAAGAGAAACATTGGTTGTCTAAATTATTCAATGTAAGATGGTACTTCGTAGGTTTGTGTAGCCCTTAAATTTAGCTGACAATTTACAGAACAAACAAAAGTGAGAGTTTATTATTACTCTGAATATATATGGCCTATTCTTATTAGCTTTCTTCATTTGGAAAACGCTTTAGGGCTCTCACCCTCTGCGTCTGTCTCCTCGTATACCTCTTTTCCCCTCCCCTCCAGCTCCTACTGCCAACTGCTTTAAATTTCTTACCAAAGTCAATTAACTAAATGATAAGATGACATACTATCTCCATAATCCATATTAGTAGTTTTTTTTTTCAATTACCATACCGTCATCTTTTTAAAATAGCCAAAACAATGAAAGTATGTTAATTCCCTTTAGAATTTTCAGTTTCAGAAATACAATATGATATTTTTTTAGTGCAACAAATACAATATGATATTGATATATATACTTGAAGAAACCATTATATGAATCACATAACTTAATTGTATTGTCTTCTATATTTTACTTTGCTGATTGCTTCAACATCTTACCCTTATTTTCATCTCCACATTTGCTAGAGTTCTTTTTCATCTTTTCTTCTTGATTATGTTAGGAATCTTTTTTAACGACAAATTCTTCTCTATTTACTGATTGAAGACATATAGCTAGGATGGAGAATCTACTTTGATTCAGCTGGATCATCGTTTGTTAGTCAATTTGTGATTGTTTGCCTTAGATATTGTTAGTAAATCTCATAATGGAAAAAGCCTATTGACATCGTCAATCAATTATTTATGTAAGAAGTTATAAACATTTTGGCTTATTCTGTCTCTGCATTTACAACAAGCATTTTATAAATATTAGTGGCAGATTCAACACAAGGTCTCAGTCTTTTCTGTTACTTTTCTATCTGCAGGGAGATTTATAGAGTGACTCTAATTGTTTCTTGATCTCTTTGTAAAGCCAAACCAGTTTTACCCACAAACAGTGTATCCATCTTCATTTCTTATAAATTGAATATTGTTTGCTACAATTATTCGTAGTAGGTCTTAGAAAGAAAAGACCCAATTAAAGCATTTCTAACCAGTTCTCAAACTCTCAAATTTTGAAGTTTTTAACTCTACAGAAACTTCTAAATCTTCAAACTTTAATGTTTTGCTATTCAAAACCTCAAAAAAATTATTCATATTTGGTTTTACTCCGTATAGTTCTATATGTAAGTTACATATAACTCTACTAATATTTTTAATATCACTTTAATCCTTTAATTATACTTTATTAAATTTATCTTAAATATACCTAAATATNTTGGTTTTACTCCGTATAGTTCTATATGTAAGTTACATATAACTCTACTAATATTTTTAATATCACTTTAATCCTTTAATTATACTTTATTAAATTTATCTTAAATATACCTAAATATACAAATAAATCGAAATTACAGTCAAAATTTTAATATAAGAAGATATTATGTAAAATAGAAATATGGTTATGTATATGTAATCACATAATTCTGTAATTTTTCTCTCTAGTCGATATATTTTCTTTTAAGAAATTAAAGATTTGGTCACTTAGTGAAATCAAAATATTCATAGATAAGTTATAAATATTGGGGTTAATTAGTTGGAATGTAGCTTTAAAACTTGTGCGGTAAAGCTTATTCTCTATAATCTTTTACTATAGATGTATTTACTCTAGCTGTATAAATTAAATGAAAAATAAGATAATAAGAATTTACTTCTACAGCCATATATTTTGCCTATCACCACATAAAATGTTGATTTAGTAAATAGGGTTTTTACATCCCTTTTCTTGTTTTGATTGTAGGTTTAAAAATTAACTTACAACATGATTGATAATTTTAACGATTGTGGATACAAATTAAAGGTAAATATTAGTGGCAGATTCAACACAAGGTCTCAGTCTTTTCTGTTACTTTTCTATCTGCAGGGAGATTTATAGAGTGACTCTAATTGTTTCTTGATCTCTTTTGTAAAGCCAAACCAGTTTTACCCACAAACAGTGTATCCATCTTCATTTCTTATAAATTGAATATTGTTTGCTACAATTATTCGTAGTAGGTCTTAGAAAGAAAAGACCCAATTAAAGCATTTCTAACCAGTTCTCAAACTCTCAAATTTTAAAGTTTTTAACTCTACAGAAACTTCTAAATCTTCAAACTTTAATGTTTTGCTATTCAAAACCTCAAAAAAATTATTCATATTTGGTTTTACTCCGTATAGTTCTATATGTAAGTTACATATAACTCTACTAATATTTTTAATATCACTTTAATCCTTTAATTATACTTTATTAAATTTATCTTAAATATACCTAAATATNTTGGTTTTACTCCGTATAGTTCTATATGTAAGTTACATATAACTCTACTAATATTTTTAATATCACTTTAATCCTTTAATTATACTTTATTAAATTTATCTTAAATATACCTAAATATACAAATAAATCGAAATTACAGTCAAAATTTTAATATAAGAAGATATTATGTAAAATAGAAATATGGTTATGTATATGTAATTACATAATTCTGTAATTTTTCTCTCTAGTCGATATATTTTCTTTTAAGAAATTAAAGATTTGGTCACTTAGTGAAATCAAAATATTCATAGATAAGTTATAAATATTGGGGTTAATTAGTTGAAATGTAGCTTTAAAACTTGTGCGGTAAAACTTATTCTCTATAATCTTTTACTATAGATGTATTTACTCTAGCTGTATAAATTAAATGAAAAATAAGATAATAAGAATTTACTTCTACAGCCATATATTTTGCCTATCACCACATAAAATATTGATTTAGTAAATAGGGTTTTTACATCCCTTTTCTTGTTTTGATTGTAGGTTTAAAAATTAACTTAGAACATGATTAATACTTTTAAAGATTGTGGATACAAATTAAAGGTAAGTAAGGTTTTACAGCCAATCAATCACCCCTATTATGTTTTGCATTGTGTATTTATAATTTATTTATAAAAATACAAGATACAAAAATATTTAAAGATATAGTTGAGAGTTTTTGTTGGAGTAACTGATTATCAAACCTTTATTTCGAAGATCAGTCACTTTCAAAATAAAATTCCTTGTTAGAGATGATCTTAGATGATTTTTAAACGTTCCTTCCCAAAATGATTTCTTAATCGCATAGGCAAGATGTGTAGTTGCAACATTTTTCTTACATTGGGAGACATTACAACTGAGTTAGTGTTAACCTTTTTTTTGGGGTCAAAGTTAGTGTTAGTGTTAACCATATATGATACATTTCACTATTTTATACAATCTCAAATTTACTATGAAGTTTACCAGTACCATCTTTATTTAAGCGGACAAAAAGAAAACATCTTCATATGCAAGACCAAGTAAGAGAAGTACATGCTATTCTAGTAAATAAAAATACTGTACAGAAATAAATGATTGGGGCTAATTTTAAAAGTTTCTGATTAAGTCGCCTCTTACTCGTAATTTTTTTGAGGAGTTATTGTACTGATTTTATCTCGTCGTGGAGACTCTGAGAAACCCATTGTGCTTTAAAATTTGCAGAGGAATCTCGTCAGACTCTGCCTTTTATTTAAGTCCTCTGAAGTTAGGTATTTATGTCATAATAATTATTGAGATTCTATATTATATACAGTAAAGAAGTACGTACTCTAAAAGCATAAAATGGTAAGTAAGTTGTTAAGCGATATTATAATCGATGAGAACGTCCTCACGCCACTCTAGACCTTGGATTTTTGTCACAAAGCTGTTTTTATTCATTAATCAGCTATTATGTATATATTATGAAATTATGTGTATAGTATGCTTTGCTACACTAGAGACTGAGAAAAATATTTTCTTTAACGACAAAGAACAAATGATAAATCTCTGAAATAAATTTAACTCTAATCTGAAGAAAACTCATTGCATAAATGTATTGTATGTCTCTGAAAACAATTCATAAAAATCTGAAAATCTAAATGATTCTCCTGCCCTTACAATTCGAGTTGCAAAACCACAAAACTGTATTATCATTTTTTTTTCCCACACTTAACCTCTCACTTCTTCACTTTTGTTCCAAGACCTTTGTCTTTTTTTTTGGGCAACTCCAAGACCTTTGTCTACAATGTTTTGATAGTATTGTGTATACGAAGCGGTCTTGCTTCGCTTCTCAAGCTGAAGAAACGCTTCTACCGCTTGTTGATCGTTTGGAGAGAAAGCAGCCTCATCTCTTTTCATTTGCACAAACTCAATATTCATCTCCACCTTAAACAAAACAAACACACAAGTCTCAGAACAAGAATGCACTCAAGCCAAGATTGGTTGGTTTGGTTGCTTTACCTGCTCGATAAAGCGTTTGACCACACGCTTCAAACCTTCCATAGTGCTACTCTCGTTAAACTTCTTCAGCCTCATAATGGAGATAGTAGCTAGCTCAGGAAACGATATGTGGAAGCTCCATTGAGCAAAGTGGTTAGCAAGAAGCTCAATCACAGAGAAGATACACTGTTCTTGAAAGTTTTGAGACTTTAACCAATTCTTAGGCAGCTGAAAAACAAACATTTCTATTAAGCTTTTACACAGAGATGATCTAATTTGAAAAAAAAAAATCTACAATGGAAGAACTTATCAAACCTTTACTGATGAGACAGCTTCAAGCTTCTTTTTTTGCTTTTTACCTTCATTTGTGGTTTTGTACTCCAACATATCCAACACAAGTGAAGCTATAGGAATGAATATACCACTTGCACGAGAGAGATGATTGAGCCATTGAATACATTTAACCCTTAGGAGCAGGTACCGTGGTCCAATAAACAGTGTAGCAACTCCATTTATAACTTGGATCACAGTATAAAGCAGAGACTGGAGATCATAATCCTCAACGTTGGCGGCGATAAAACTCACCCAGAGATCAAGGCAACTTGTGTAGTGCTCGCTATGTATCTTCTCAAGAGCCTCCTGGTTACAAAAATAGAAAGAGGCTAAGAAGACAAACAAGAAAACTCTTCAAGTAGAAGAAAGAAGAAGGCACCTTGTTCTTTGTAGTGAGTGCCATCTTCAGTAACTTGGCAAGTTGTGTGATGGAAACAGAGGCTTTAGTACAAGACTTCTGCATATCTTGAGAGCAGAGCTCAACAAGAGAGTCTCTGAGGAGAGGTAGACGTTTTTCTGAATTTGCCTTTGGAGTATCGCAGTCATGTAGAAAGGCTTTGTACATGTTGATGAAGCAGGTGTCGAAGTATTCTGAGTTAAACACCATACTGATGTCTTTCAAGATTAGAAAAGCTTGATGAGATAGAGTCTCTTCACCGGTTACCCACAGATCAATAGAAAGCTGCACCAAGTAACAACAGTTTAAACATGACTTTCATCAAGTAAGCTTTTAAGTGTAAATAAAAAACTGTAAATGAATTTTTCTAGATAACAATGTGAACTGTCAATGAATCTCTCTAGATACCAATGTTCAAGAAATTGTTAGGCGATAGTTAAGCCAGTTTATTTGAGATTATTGATTAGTCAGACGCCTAGACCGAGAGAATTTTAGAAAAATCGTTTTGTTTAAGTCCAATTTCAAAATAAGCAGACGCCTAAACCGATTTTTAGAACAGTCCTAGATACTAATGATATATATTTAAAGCCAAAAAGAAGATGAGCCTAGTCAAACATATGTAACTTTGATACTAAAAACAGTGATATTTACTATATAGTCTACCTTGATCAGTTTTTGCAGCATCTCTGGAAATGCAGCGAAAAACACAGTAGAAACTCTAAGTTGGGCAAGCGCAAAGACTGTGATCTCCAAATCTGCAGCCTGCTTGAGAAGATGCAAGGTACTTATAAAGAAAGACTTGACGAGTGGTTTCACACTATCCCATTTAGCGTTGTTGTTCAACTTCAGAATCTTCTCCTTGTTGGCAGAGCCTGATAATCCCAGAATGCTCCTAAAAGTGTCATCAGCTTTTTGGAGCACAAAGATAATGACATTGGCGAATGTCTCGCTGTCTTCTATGTCATAGCATATATCAGAGTTAGTGATTCCTGATGGCTCGTGTCCGTAATGAGATGCAGCTCGGTACCAGTTCAACAAACTGGTTAGTGCTTGAACAGACTGTTCCTCATCAACTAGGTTACAGCATGAGCTAAAGACAGATCCTGTGAGTACTTTACGCTTCATTACATCTGACTCATTTTTATTCAATCTAGCAAGCTTCCTCTTCTGTTTACCTGGAAACTTATCTATTGAGTCAAAACAGTAAAGGAAAATATCTAAGACAAACAATATAAGGTAGAGCCATTTACCTTCTGATCCATTCACAACTCCATTTGTCAAGTCAGAGTCCTAAACACAAGAAAATACTGTGAATATACCATCACAGAGAAACTTTAACAAAACGCCAAGTTAAAAGAATACCTCAGCTAGATAACCATCACTATCTGAATCATCACCACCGTCAAGAGCCGCACCTTCCTCTTTGTCAAACACAGTATCTATAACTATATCCTTAGGATTTTCTTCAATACATCTGTAAACACACATAGGCGGTTGAAACTCAAGAGAGATTACTAAGCAGCTGTTTTGAGTGAAAAGGAATGTACTTTCTTACCTCTTCTTATGTGGCTGCTCTATCATCTCCTCCTCCTCTACATCTTCTGCGCCACGACGCGCATCTCCTAATAACCACAAGTTAATAGCAACATAGACTCTAAACAATCAGCTACCAGATATGATCAAGATCCTAACTTTCTCAAATCCACTAGCATAAACAAGTAAGTAAGTCTCTGTAATCATAAAAAGGAACTTACTTTTGGCGAATTTGCGTTTGAGAAAGGGCTTTTGCTTCCTGTAACGCTTCTCAACAGATTGAAGATTCTTCTTGGCAAATTTTCTAGCGTTCTTCCCAAGCTTACCCATTTGAGCAAACTATGCGAACACACAACGATTCAGTAACGAGTTCGATAAAGTTTCAAAATCTAAGATAAAGTTTGTGACTTTACAATATAGAAATTAGGGTTTAACGAACTTGGGAGAAGTAAAGGAAGAGACTTTACCGTTTAGACGACGAAAGTAGATGAGAGGGTGTTTGTTTCAGAAAGGTTTTGTCTGAAGAGGAGAAGAAGACAATGTTGAGACGGCGCTAAGGTTTAGGGTTTTAGGTGAGTTTTTTCTTCTTTTCTATTTTTAAAAAAATTTAAATTCTTTTAAGCATTTAGAGCGTTATGCGTTTAAGAGATAAATTAGCGTCTACCGTTTAAAATGCGTTTGTTGTTGTCAATTGGACTGGGTTGGTTCGGTTTGAATCGGTTTATCCGTTCAGTTTTCTTCCACAATTCACTCTTTAAGCCCAATTTTGTTAGTCCAGAAAAGCCCATTTAGTAATCGCCGAGCTTGTAATTTATGGACTTGTAGAATCTTGTGTTTACCCAAAATGTTAAATGTGTGTTTGGAATTTTGATTGCTACTGCTAGTGCTTCTGCTTTACCAATCGAAGCCTAGACGGACAGGTTAAAAGATCACAAATGTAATGTTTAATTTAAACGAAATGTTAGTTTCTTAATCATTCTGCATGATTTAATATGTTGCTTCATTCGTGGTTGACAATTAACAATCTATACGTACTTAAAATTTACGCTCAAGTTATTTAGATGGACAAGTAACTTAATTACTTGTGTTATTTGATGCAAACTCATATTTTATTATTTAAACGCACATAACTTCATTTTCAATCACATACATAATTTGTTCTCAAAACCAATCAGAAAAGTTCTTATGTACGTTTCCACAAGTCATTATGATAGCATGCTAGCTAGTAATAAATCATTAATCATGTATGATGTAAATCGTTTAATGGTTCCTTAAATTTAAAGACACATTTTTTGTAAGAGTTGAATCGAAGATGTTATTTTTCACGTAACGTAAACAGAAATTTTAAAATTATAGTACATAGACATATGTTTATATACCATGTATTCGAGTTATCAGGTGCTGGAGGCTATCATGTTCAATCAAATGCCTCTAGAGCGCAACGTGTTGTCATTGCCAGATGATATATGGGTTCGTACGAGTACGATATATATCGTACATGGCCTGTCCTTTGGATCAGTGTGTCAGACCTGTTTTTAGTATATTTGTTGTTTGCTTTGACATACTTTTGTTTCTCACATTAATGTAATACACTGTGACAACATTTAATAAACACGGGCAGGCGTAAGAGCATCTGTAATAGTCCTTAGATTTTGATTTTTTAATTATTTTTTTTATCTTTTTTAGATATATAAAAGAGAACTAAAAAAATAAAAACCAATCAATCGTGAGCTGTCACGTGTCATTAAGACCCGCAAATAGTGTAAGAATTCACTAAGAAAAAATCCTTATTTAGGGATTTTAAGGATTGAATCCTTAGTTTTTGGTGAAATCTAGTGATTATTTAATTAGTTTTTTCTAAGGATTCTCCCTTAAGAACTCTCATTACGGATGCTCTACGGCCATATTTATCCCTGTTTCTTAAGGGTTTTTAACATGTATGGGACCCATTTTTACTTAAAAAACAGTGACAAGAGTAGAATAAGAATCGAATTTGATAGTTTTTATACTATTTGCGGGTTCCACTGATACGTAACGGGCCACGATTAGTTCATTTTTGATTTTTTTTTTTTTAAATTGCAAAAAAAGATTTTTTTAAAGAAACTAAAGAAGGTTAATAGCTATAAACATGGCCTAACAATGTCAAAGTTGTTGGAGGATATCATGGATCATAATATTTTAGATGCAAACATATACAACTAAGATTAGATTTTATAAAATAGTCAAATTAAAGCTACACAATATCTCTGTACATTGGTGGTCCTGAGGTAAAGCATTACAAGCACCTGCATTTAGTCTACAAAAAAAATTGCACAGCTTTTTTTAGAAAAAATTATCTACAAATTTATAAGAGTGACCGATTTTTAAAAACTTGTAGTCTTTTTTATGTCAGGACCCATACTTTAATTTAATTTTTGGAGTGAAATGTGAGAGTCGGCATTTTTTTTTTTTTTGAACACAAAGAGAGTCGGCATCTATATTAATAAAAACACCATGAAATAATTATACCATACATACAACAAAAAGAAAGGAAGATTTGTTGTATTGGGAGAAAATAAATGAAAAGACGTGGAATAATCATGAGAGGAGAGGTAGATAATAAATTCACATGCAAGTGGGTATGTCATATGTGTTCTCATGATAAATTCACATACACTTTTTTCTTTATATATGTAGAATGGATCCTTTTTTTTTTTTTTTTGTAGAATGGATCTTAGTTACGTTGTAATTCTAATATAAACTAAACATGATTTATGAGATACAATCATCTCACAGTATCATATCTACCTAAAAAGGAAATCTACATCCACGAGAATCTATAAACTTTGACTAATTAATTAACATAACACGTATGCATGTATGTATATTTTTTTCTGGCGTGTGACTTGGCAGCTACAACAAGATCTGGTTGGTGCTTAGATATGCATTGTCATCACCTAATGTTCTTAATGCTCTTCCACCCTCACCGCCCCTAACTGTTTTTCTCTTTTGTTATTTATTTTCATCTCATGCTTCACTCACTTGTATTTTCCCAACTATTTGCTTCTTATAATAATGAAATGTAACTCTATGAATTGATCATTGGCCTTTTACATTTCAAAATAACCATTTACATATATGACATTCCTAATAATATTTTAGCTAAAATTGATAATGAGCTTCACTACACTTTTACATCATGTAGTGTGTTGTTGACTTTGCTTTTTAGTGGTTTTTTTTCTTTTTCTAACTTAGCTTTTTAGTGTTCGTATAATATTTCAAAAGTTCTACGAAAAATATGCATGGATGTATATATACACTCCGCAATCACTGAATGAATATTTATATTTCCCACTTTTCAGATTAATAACATTTATAACATAGGTACGTACGCCGTCAGCGGTACGTCTACATAACCAACTACTAGTATATAAATCAGGTTACCTTCGATTGATGTTACAGATTACCCTGATGGCAAGCAATTATATCATAAATACGAAGAGGGATTCAATTTGTGGTTCTCCTAAAAAATAAATTAGTCAGATGAGCAAACAGTGTTGAATATTTCGGACAGTCTCATCAAACTTGATCAAAACAGTTTAACGGTGTCTTTAAATAAAAAAATAATTAAATAATCAACAAGCTTCACAAAAAATTTTGTTAAGAATTAATCATTAGAATTTTTAAATAAGAACTGGTCTTTAACGAATTTTTACACTATTTGCGGGTTCTGACGATACGTGTCGACCCACGATTGATTAGAATTTATCTTTTTTATCTGAAAAAAATAATAATTAAAAATTAACGATTAATGGATAACACCATTGCGGGTATTGCGGGTGCTCTTAGAAGCATAGTTGCATTCATTGTAAGAAGTTGTTTGGCTTGAATACATTTTAACATCCGATTATTATTAATGATATTACATATAGTTTCAGTATGTTATTAAGTTTTGTTTGATATACAATATATTATGCACAATACAGAAATACAGTTACGAAAACATAAAACGATGTCAATCTACAGTTAATTGTTTTATAAGCTTTTATTTAACGTTAAAGTTTTCTCTACTGTATCGTTTCACCAATTCAATCGTTCTACTGTTCTTTGTGACATAATAATAATAATAATAATCATATTTCCTTTACCAAATTACTTGCTAGTTTATATCCCATGAGTGATTATGATTTATGAATATATCAGCAGTATATCTTATGTATGAAAAAAGTATTTTCAATATATTCAGTTAGTATATTTACTACAATGAGTAATTAACATATCATTATAGAAATATGTATCAATAATGTAACTGCATAGATAAATTAAATACATAAAGTAACATGTTATATATTTTTTTGTTTGAACTAAGGCTTAGTAACATGTTATATTAATCAAATAAAAGGTTGAAATTCTCAGAAAAAGGTTCAAATTATTAAATAACATACATAAATAATTTGGATGGAATACTTACAGAACAAACGTAACCTAATAACATGTAACATTTTTTAATCATAATTTTGGTATAATAAAGTAATATATAGTTAACAATTAACATTTGTAAAAAATCCAAAAGGAAAGAATAATGATTGTATATGTATATATATATGTTCGTATTACACAAAGCATCCATATGTGAAAGAAGTGGTGAGTGCCAGGAATTATGGACAGGACGTTACAATATATATTGATTCATAAAGGGTTTTACGGTTATTCAATTTGATACAGATATAAAGAAAATAATAAGTGATTTAAATATTTAGACTTAACTTTCGTCATGCTGCAGAATTAATAGAATACTAGAGTTTCACCCGCACATCTGTGCGGGTATATTTTTTATTTTATAAATATATAACTAATTTTTTTTAATATATGATTTATATTTTAGCTTTAATTATAATCATATCTAATAACGAAATAAAGAAATACTTATTTTATAAAAAATATATTTAAAATTTTTGGTAAGATCTTGTTAGATTTTTTCAACAGATTTTGTTATATTTAAATTTATTTATTATTAATGTTCTTATTAGTTATTAAGATATTGTGAAAATCATATATATTTGACTGGTTAATGTAACAATAAAATATGTCAATTAAGTAATTAATAACATNGATTTTTTCAACAGATTTTGTTATATTTAAATTTATTTATTATTAATGTTCTTATTAGTTATTAAGATATTGTGAAAATCATATATATTTGACTGGTTAATGTAACAATAAAATATGTCAATTAAGTAATTAATAACATGGTCCAACATGACTTCTAAATAGTAGATAAATTTGGTACTTCTCTTTTAATAGAGAAGATATATATATATATATATATATATATATATATATATATATATATTATTTTTTATCGAAAATAATATATATTGACTTTTATTTATAAAATGTAAGTACAATAAATTTTTAATGAAAATCCTTACGTATAAAAGTGACATTTGCCATAATAGTAGTAACTTCAGTAATTATAGTAGTCTTAAATTTAGGAATAAAATGCATAAATAATAAAAATTAAATATAAATATATATTATTAATAGGTTAGTAGTCAAACCTAAAGGAATGAATAATTATATATCTACAGGCCCG